TTGGGGTGTTCAGGCTGAGAAGAGAAGGCTCCAGGGAGACCTTAGAGCACCTTCCAGTGCCTGAAGGGGCTCCAGGAAAGCTGGGGAGGGACTTGGGACAAGGGCAGGGAGGGAGAGGACAAGGGATGGATTAAAACTGAAAGAGGAGAGATGGAGGTTGGACATGAGGAGGAAATTCTTGGGTGTGAGGGTGGTGAGAGCCTGGCCCAGGTTGCCCAGGGAAGCTGTGGCTGCCCCATCCCTGGCAGTGTTGAAGGGCAGGTTGGATGGAGCTTGGAGCAACCTGGGCTGGTGGGAGGTGTCCCTGCCCATGCAGGGGGTTGGAACTGGATGTTCTTTACTAACCCTGGCATCACAAACCATTCTATGATAATATTTGCTGTGCTCCTTCTGTACTACTGTATTTTTGACCACTAGTAATAATCTTACATGTATATATGTATTTTTTTGCATGTTTACATTTATAAAGCTATTTGATTTGAAATTCTCCAGCGATACTCAGCCAGCATCCCTGGTGCTATGTCTGACATTGGTTGGGTAACCTTGAGATGGTGTTTGGTGATTCTTTGATAGTTTCACACATGCTGAATTTCACATTTCTAAAGCCCACCTTTGGGGCCTTTGGTGCCCTGCCAGCCCCAAGATGCCTTTCACTAACACAATCTTGTGTTGGGGTGCAAGATGAAACATGCCCTCAGTTCTGCTAAGATTCTACTTTTCAGCCTTTGGGACTTGCTGATAAGAGTGGGATAGAATAGAGGCTTAATTTGCTACCAGTTTGGATTTTGAGGTGTGTGGTTGTTTTTTTCTAGTGATTTTTTTTTTTTTTTCATTTCTTTATCTTACAGCAAGCACAGTATTTGTTTCTGCAGGGCAGTAAAAAGAGAACAAAGAACTGGAGGGGGAGGGAAAAAAAAAGAAAAACGAAAGAGGAACTAGCATCCAGCACTTGAGGCAGGGGGAGGAGGAATAAGGAGGAAAATTACTTGGTTTAAAATTCCGAGGGGGAGCACAGCCACTGTTGGGTTGTGATAAATCTTTACATTCAGCATCCAGTAGCAATCAACTGACCTTTCAGAGGATTTGCAGCTCTGCAATCAACTGCTCCTTCCCCTTCAGTCCCGTGTTCCTCTCAGGAGCGTGTCCATCCTTCCCCCTCCTCTTGCAGCACCCTGCATGATCAGATACCAGATGCTGGTTTGATGGGGAAAGTCCTGTCCTTAAATCTCTGTCAGATCACTGAAGTCAGATTTTTTTGCTGTGTCAGAAAACTGGATAACCCAGATTTTAGGTGTTTATCCACAACAATCTTTCCCCGTGTTGAGCACAAACTTGGAATTTTAATTGTCATCATGGAATATATTTGAGCCTTTTAATACAAGGGCTACGGAGGTTAGAAAGCACTTCTGCCTGGTGAATATCACCTCCAAGAGAGGATACTGATGCAGCAGCTATTGGAATTGGAGAAACATGTAGATGTGCCTGGAAAGATCAATGACTCTCCAAGGTTTCTAGGCACCAAATGGCTGGTGCTGGATTCCCAAGGAGCACTGGCTCCCTTGGTCAGAGGATGAGCCTGTTGGAGGGGACAGAGACAGATAACAATGGGAACGTGCTGAAGGGAGGAACAGTGTCTTGATGGATCCAAGGAATAGAAGAGCAGAGACACAGTGACTAGGACAGAGCAGAGGGAGGGGAGCTGCTGCTATGTTTTGTTAGTCATTTCATTCATGTGATCTTATTTGAAAGGTCTGTTGTATGAAACAAAACAGCAACGAGCCTGTCCAAACAAGAGGGTTAGCCTGGCTTTCTTTGGGGTTTAAGTATTGCTGGATGTGTTTCAGCTATTGCTAATTTAAGTGTTCACTGAAGAGGTATCTGTTCACTAAACACTGGTGAATTAACCAGGGAGCTGAGTGCTTGCCAGGAGCAGCACGTCTCAGTGTGCAGCCCACCTTTCGGGAAGAAGGGGAGCTAAGATTTCTGTTCTTCCTCCCTTCCACCTACAAAAAAGCTTGTTCCCATCTGCAGCCTGCAGTGTTGCACAGCCCCCAGCTGGTTGTAACCCAGCTCTGGGTGGCACTAGAGCAGCTCAGCACCCTGTGTAAAACCAGCCCATTTCGAGGAGGGAGTGAGTGTCTTTTGGCTGCTACCAATATTGATTGGAAAGCTGGGGGGAGTGTTCAGTTACGGCCTGCAGTCCTGTGTGCTTTAATTGGGAGTAGGCAGTGGGTTCTGCAGTAAAAAAAATAACAGTTGGAGTATAGCACCTTTAAAATGCTTTCTCTAAGTGTGTGTATGCATGTGGACTCATGCAGTTGATCGTTATAGAATCATGGAATAGTTTGGGTTGGAAGGGACCTTAAAGATCATTCAGTCCCAAGCCCCTGCATGGGCAGGGACACCTCCCACCAGCCCAGGCTGCTCCAAGCCCCATCCAACCTGCCCTTCAACACTGCCAGGGATGGGGCAGCCACAGCTTCCCTGGGCAACCTGGGCCAGGCTCTCACCACCCTCACAGCAAAGAATTTCCTCCTAATATTTAATCTAAATGTCCCCTCTCCTACATATAATAATAATAGTTATATATTATTATGTATATTTTATATCTTATTTTATATATTTAAGTATTATTATAATATGTATGTAGAATACATTACACAGCACTGTACCTTGCTGAAACCAACATAGGTGATGAAGTGTTTTATAAAAGGAAAATAACTTTTCTTGTCTCTTAATCTTTTACTCATTAAATCCTTTCACTTAGAGTAGCACTTAACAGCTGAAAAGCAATCCTTCCCATCACCCTAATTTGGTAGGAAAATTGTAGGTCTCTGCGTGGATTTCAGTGGCAGAAAAATAAACAATACCCATAACTTTAACTCAGGGAAAACTGCCTCCACATCAGAACTGCTTTTCCAGCTAAACAGGCAGAATAATGATCACCTGGGTATGATGCCTTTCTGTATTTTCTCAGATCTGCAGAGCTGCCCAGGTGCAGTTCAGCAGCACAGGCAGAATGAACAAGGTGGTGTCTCCCTACCCAAATGTCTGCCACCTCTTATATCCAAGTATTCTCTGAAAGCAGCCACTTTTTACAGATTTCTGTTGAAGATTCAAACTTTAAGGAAACAGAGCAGCAGGATATACAAGCACAATCTGCCAGGGCAAATGTGTCTGTTCCAGGTTTTTGGTGGGTTTTGTTGGTTTTAATACACTGCAGTTTGTTTCCTTCTCCAAGAGTAGTTTTTGACTAAGTGACTTTAAAAAGCAGCACCTTTAACTTCTCCAAGTATGTGTGTCATTAATTTTGTTTCCATTGAAGTGCTTCCTCTAGCCTCTTTATTTGGATTTTTTTACAGTCCCATTGTGTTAAACTCCAGATACACAATAGTCTAAAAGGTGGTCAGAGGGAAGCCAAGGTGGGTTAAATGCAGGAATAATTGCTTATTTGTCTCAGACTTCAAAAATGTATTTTCTATTAAGTCTTCCTTCAGGCTGTCCTGATTTAAAGCATGCACTCAGGTGAGACATTGGAGAGAATTTACCTAAGTTGTTCCACTGAAACAATTCTTCTCAGGGGATCTAGTCACAGAGAAAACCTTGGAATTGGACTTTTAAGGGAGAGCCTGATAACAGCAAAAACTTCCACTGGGAGAAGCTGAAGGACCAGGACAGTTGATAAGGTTCACTTTTCAGGCACATTCAATTAATCTTGGATTCACCAGAAATGGAAGTGTTTTCCCAGCTGTGTGGTTTAGAAGCTGACCTCATATGACAAATAACATGAGGAATAATTGGACCAGTAGTTCAGTTGCTTCTAAACCTCTACTGGGAGGTAACACTTTTCATAGAGGTTTTTTGTTTGGTATCTTCTCTGAAGCTCTGAACAACTTCCTAAAAAAAGCCCCGTGTCCATGAACAGTGCAGAAACTTGACCCTCCCTGGCACTGTGCATACAGACTCTTGGCAAATTATCAGTAAACATTCCAGGGCAAAGTTCTACTGGTTTTGTTGGCAGTATGGTAGAGGAGGAAAAATAAGTTACTAAAAGGAAAAAGTGCTCTTGATTTAGGAAGATATATTTTTTTTAATCACCTTTGTTATAAACCAATACGGTGCAACCAGGTGGTTGCATTTTGGGGAACTGGAGTAACACACTGGATCTCTGGGTGCTGAGTTTTGGGGGGAAGAGGGGTTTTGCTTCCTCCTGTTCAGGAGAATGGATTGGAGTGGGCTGATCCCTCACGTGCTCCTGTGCTAGGTAGGTATGATCTTGAAATATTTGAGCTACATAGCCAAGAAGGATCATAAATGGTTCAAAATGCTGGACTGAGAATAAGATCATGTGGTTTTGAAATAATTAAAATAATCAAAATTGTTTTTTCTGGTCTCTAATCTCATGTGCTTCCATTTTTCTGTTTCTTGGTTTTATATTTCTTTTGATTTTTTTTCATGGATACTTTAAAGTGGATGTTTTCGAGCATAACTCTGACAACTCAGGATCAAAACAGTCTTCCTAATTGCTGTAATTCTAGACTTAAAATATATCTCCATTTATTGGTGTTGCAGTTTGTGTTAAATGTGGAAAATGAGTGAACATGTGCAGTCTGAGAGGGAGCACAGGGATTTCTAAGCTCCAAGTACAAGAGTACAGACCAAGAAGAGCATTTCAGCTGTGCCAGGGCACCTGTTGACAACACTTCACTGTGTAGAAACACACTGCAAAGCTACAGATTGTCACTGGATGCCTTCTAAGAGCCATGAGCCTTTTGTTTCTTTGCTATTTTAAAAACAAATGCAGTTGAATATCATTAACTTCATTAGATCAGGCGTGACTTTAATGTCATAATTAAACTACCTATTTTGTAAAATGATTTTTGGGTGAAGTTTTCTTACCTGTATCACAGTTGTCTCCAGCTTTTATTCATTAACTTCTACTAAAAAAAGAAAATGCTGACCTGAAATGACCTTTCTTTCCTATTTTTTGTCCCCAGTACTTTTCTGTATCTGAAGTTCCTGGTAGTCTGGGCCCTGGTTCTGTTGGCTGATTTTGTCCTGGAGTTCAGATTTGAGTATCTGTGGCCATTCTGGCTCTTCATCAGGAGTGTTTACGATTCCTTCAGATACCAGGGTTTGGTAAGTATAACACAATTATTGTCCCTTCCTAGGGAAATCCTGCAGTGTTCCAGGGCATGTTCTATGTTATACAATTAATTGAATGGTGCTGATGATAATTTTCACCAGGAGGAATTTTCAAGCAACTGGGTGACCTGGGCTCAAGTCTTTTAACTGCCTGTTTTATCTCTGGCAAGTGGCAGTGAAATATACAGCTATCAGATCTTCACCATAAGAAAATATGGTTTGAATTCCCAAGATCAGTGCCCTGTAAAATAGGGTTTTCTTTAAAATAAACCCCAAGCCCTTGCTTATTTAGATACTTACTGTTCTTTCAGAGAGTAATGACACTCCTGGTTGGTTGGGTTTGTTGTTTTTTTTCCAGAAGGAGAATATAGTCATGATAATATATCAATAGTGTAAATCAAAGTCTTCAAACAAAATAATAAGGAATAAATAGAGCTCATGGAGACTTGTTGAAAGAGTGGTTGGGCACAAATTCTCAAGTTGTACCAGTTCTCCCTTAATTGGCTAAGTTTCTACTTACTTTAGCTGGACTGCTCCATTTCTTTGCCCTGATTATAAACAACTCTAATGTTTCTGTGTTGAAATCATTGTGGTGTCACCATTAATAAATAAACTGGTAATGTTTGCTGGAATAAAACAAAAACACTTCTTTCCCCCCACCCCTTCTTTCTTTTAGGCCTTTTCAGTATTTTTTGTTTGTGTAGCATTCACATCAAATATCATATGTCTGCTCTTCATACCAATACAATGGCTGTTTTTTGCTGCCAGCACGTATGTTTGGGTACAGTATGTCTGGCATACAGGTAAGTGCCTTTTTATTACAACTTTTTGATTTGAATATATTATTTTACAGCTTTCAGTAACATGCAGAAACCCTCTTCTATTTGTTACCATGATTGAATGCACTTCTGTTGTAGATAAAAGTGTTCTTTTGCTATTTTTAGTGTGCTGATTTGCACTTGATTCATGTCTGGGTCCATCTTAATTGCATCAGCCTGAAAACTTTAGAAAGAAAACTTGTTATTTATTGTTTTTGTAGAGGTAACTCTTCCCTACCCAAGTCCTTGGGATTTCAGGGATTTGTAATATTTAATGTTAGACTTCATATCAGATCACAAGAATTTGCAGGGTAGCATGGATGATTTCTCAGCTCATCTTCCTGACAAGTTAGTCATGTACAATAATGACAACGTGGGAGCTAGTGGAAGATTCTGTGAACCAGTTGCTGCCCAATTTAAAATAGGTATAAAATCTGGAGTTATTTTTAGGATTGTATTAGGATACTCAAATGTTACCTGAAGTTGTTGTTGGTTTAAGTTTAGAAGCCCTACAGGAAAACTAGGAGGTTTAAGACCTTAGTTTTGCTTGGCTGTTATTTTATGTTCTCACTAGTAGTGCTGGAGAAAGAAATCAAGACAGAGTCCTAAATATTCCTGCTGTAGCAGAGCTGGGAGTTGCAGACTTGTCTGCATTACTGTATATGGGATAACCAGTGTGGTTCTTACTCACTCCTGTTTTCTCAGCTGATTTGCTCACTGCTGCTACTAAGATATACCTAACTTGGAGTGAAAAAGTAGTCCAAGCTTCCCACTTCTGACTCAAAGATCATAAGCTCTAATATTACCTCATCTTCTGCAGTTTCTTCCATTTGTGTTCCTTTTCTCTGGAGGGTTTTGTGCCAAGCTATTTCATTAGCTGTGCATCTGTTATTTTTCACTTGTGCCTTACAAAAGTAATAAAGCAAGATAAGGAGACAAAGGGTTAGAGTTGGTTTAAAATAAAGGCATCCTAGATACTTTATTTTGAAAAAAACCACAACCTTCTTGCAACTCCCTGTATCTGTCTGAAAATTTCCCTTAACTTTTGGAATGTTTTAAAAAGAACTTAAAAATATTTTGCTGCTGGTAATCTATTACTAAGGTGTTTCTCTCTCTTCCTGCCCATAGAGAGGGGTGTGTGCTTACCAACAGTATCACTGTGGATACTTTTTGTTTATATTGAAGCAGCCATTCGATTTAAAGATTTAAAAAACTTCCATGTAGACCTTTGTCGTCCATTTGCAGCACACTGGTAAGTGATGTTTCTGTCTCTCTCTTATTAACCTTCATCTCACCAGGGAAATTAATATTCAGGGCTTTATATTTTGGTTCAGAGTTTGGCTCTTTGGTTCTCCCCTCACATGTCTGTGCTAAACATTAACCCAGTGCAGCTTTTCTGAAGATGCAGTGCTTGTGGGCTCTGGGGAATTTGAAGCATGGGTATTCCTAGCATTACATGGAAGCTCTTGTCATCAGTTTACAAATTGTGTATTTACATAATGAGTAGATGGTAAAAGTAGCAAAAAAAAAAAAAATAGTTTCACTGATAATTTGTGTATCTCATTACTAAAACTTGCCTTTTTTTTTCCTGTAACAAATCACTCCTCTTTTTCCCCTCCAATGAGAAGGGTTCTCATCAGTGCCTGATTCCATAATTCAGGTTGAAAATAATGGCAGAACATAAAAACCAAACACTACTTGTTCCATTGCTTCTTTGGAAGTGACAAGAGTGACTTCAGGCAAAAGACTTTACTGCAGAGTATCCATATCTTGAAGAAATGCACTTTTATCCCACAAGTTTTTGTGTCGTATGCATTGATCAGGCTGTGTTTAAAATGTGTCCTGTTTTCCTGGAGTCATTTGGTCCAGTTCCCTGTGATGCAGTCTCCAATGAATTAGACATCTGTCATTTAAATTTATATTGTCCACGTTGTGCAATAAATCCCTTAAACACTAATTAAATTCTGTAATAGGTTACAAAAGCACTTTAGAAGCTGTGAAGAAAGGTCTTTCTGCTCCTGAATTGGATGCAAACATTTCAGCTTGTCATCAGAGTTTTAGAGCTGTAGCTACAGCTGGCTTTACACACTGTTACAAAAGAAGCCCTGGCAGAGATAATGTCAGATGCATATGCAAATGATTCTTGCATTCTGGCAGCTCTCTTAGAAGCACAATTTGCACAGTGAGCAAAGAATGAGAAGGTTTTAATGGTTAATAGCCATCTGAGTTTCCCCCTGTTCTAGGACACCTTCAGTGTTTAAAAAGCAACTTCACTGTGCATTGTTAAAATCTTTGTCAAAGATGTTTCTTTTTATCCAGGGATATTTGCTCATTCATCAAGTATCCTTGTTAATAAACACACGAGGTTGATTTGTTAGCATTCTGGGTTGGTGCAGTTGGCACAGGCTAATAAGAGCACTTGAATTCTGAGTGATGAAGCTGATAGGAAGGAAATCATTCCAAAGTTCTGTAATGCTTCTGTCATCCTCATCAACAAATGGAACAGCACAGTCTGGCTGGATGTGGAATTCTTCATATCTTATCTGTCAGGAAGATAAGTGGAAGAACTAAGTTTAGAGATTAGATGTTTTTTGCTTACAGCTTCAAGGTCAGTCTCCTAAAGGAGGGATTTCCAAAAGCCATTTCTTGCCCACAACAAGTGTCTTAATTGTGGGAGCCTTGGCAGGGAGAGCTGGTTCTTGAGGCTTTCCCTCCAGGGTCACTTCTGACTGTCCTAGATGTGGGTGATGGTCCTTTGGCTGCCACCCTGGGTGCCCCCAGGATTGCAGGAGCCCCAAAGCTGGATGTTCCAGCAGCTTCTCCAGCTCTGGTTTCTCAGCCTGTGCTGCAGTGAGAAGGTGTCGTGGGGCCTGTTGCAGAGGTGATGCTTTGGAGAACCTTAGTTTTGTCTCAGCTGTAAAGAATGGGGGAAAAGTGGATCTGCTCTTATTTTCTGAGTGCAAAAGGATGGGGCTAAGGATCAGTTTCTCCTTTCACTGTTGTGAAGGAATGTTGTTAACACGTCTCCCACTTTAGTGTCTGAAATGTTACACTGCTCTTTAGGAACAAAACTTGGGTACTCCTGCATTTGGCTGTTATCTCCTTAAAAGACTCATAATTCCTGGTCTGGTGCCTGTCTAAAAGCTGTCTTTGCTCTGTCTAGTGCAAATTGCATTGTTCTAATCCTTTAATCTATGCTACAGTTAATTACTATCAGTAAAGAACTGTCATTTTATCTTGATAAGAGGTGCTTACCTTTGCAACTGTAGCTTTATTGCACTACAGCAAAAGAAAAATCTATAATTTTCTATCAAAACTTGCAATCCAGATGTATTCAGAGCTATCTAATCTATCACAAGGTATTAATTTGCTATTGTGGGTACATTTTGAATACTAATGGTGCTTGCTTTGGTTTTTTTTCCCTTAGCATTGGCTACCCTGTTGTGACTTTGGGCTTTGGCTTTAAAAGTTACGTCAGTTACAAAATGCGTCTAAGAAAACAAAAAGAAGTGCAGAAAGAGAATGAGTTCTACATGCAGCTGCTGCAGCAGGCTCTGCCCCCAGAACAGCAGATGCTGCAAAGACAAGAGAGGGAGGCAGAGGAAGGTAAGTTTTAATTATTATTTCATGTGTTTGCTGTTATCTGCTATTAAAAAAAACCCCAAAATCCCCTCCAAAACTAAACCTTCTAAGGAGAAGCTTCTTCAGTCCATGTTGTTTTGATGAAAGTGAAGTGAACTTGGAGGAGCCAGAAAGAAAATTATTTGACAGGGGTTAGGATGACAGTAGAAATGAATTATGTCCTCTCTGGTTAGCTCTTTATTAGCAGCTGCATCAATCTTGTCAGTCAGTGCTGTGTGAAGTACCAGTATTTATTATTAAATCCCTTGGTTACTGTTTCCTGCATGTAATGAGAAAAAAAAAATCTTAAAATGTCATGTGAATTCTGATTTTCATTTCTAAATAGACTCCAATAATTATTTTCTGCTGGAATGATTGATGTGTACTTAATGATTTTTCTTTCTGTGTCACAGTATTGATTGATTTAATGAACTAAGTTGGGGTTTTTTTCCTATTTTTGGTATTGCAGCAGCCAAAGGATTATCTGAGATGGATTCCTCAATACTCCTGCAGCACAATGGAGGCATTCCAGCCAATAAAAAAATATCTGCAACGTTGCCAGAGCTTGAATATAGAGAAAAAGGGAAAGAAAAGGACAAGGATGCTAAGAAACACAACCTTGGAATAAATAACAATATTTTGCAACCTGTAGACTCTAAAATACAAGAAATTGAATATATGGAAAACCATATCAATAGTAAAAGATTAAATAATGATCTTGTAGGAAGTACAGAAAACCTCTTGAAAGAGGACTCATGCACTGCCTCCTCCAAAAACTACAAAAATGTCAGTGGGGTGGTGAACTCCTCACCTCGCAGCCACAGTGCAACCAATGGGAGCATCCCCTCCTCATCTACTAAAAATGAGAAAAAACAGAAGTGTGCCAGCAAGAGCCCCAGCACACACAAGGACTTAATGGAAAACTGTATTCCAAATAACCAGCTAAGCAAACCAGATGCACTGGTAAGGTAAGTTTGAGCTGAGCACGTCTGACAGCCTGTCCTACCCTCCTGTCGTTCCAGTACATCAGTTCTTTTATTTTTCTTAGGGAAATGTGATTTATGATCCCATAAAGAAGGTGGAATTGTCTAGCAATGGAATAAGATAATGAGGAACTGGGCCTTCTGGGTTCTGTTCCTTATTTTTGCTTCTGGCTTGCTATGCAGCCTTGAGCAAATTGGTTTCTTTCTACCTCAGTATAGGCTACTCACTTACCTCATGGGGGTGTTGTGAGGCATCATCAGTAGCTTTGACAATCACTTGATGGAAGCAGGAGAGAAACGTGGAGAATCAGGACTACAGAGCAACGTGGATGTGTTTGACAAGCCTTCCGTGGAGTGACCTTGATGTGTTCAGGGAACTCAGTGGGTTTTGATAGTGTCTGAACAGATGTTTTGTCTTAGGTTTTTTGGTTTGTTTTTTCTTTCCCTTGAAAGGTTTGGCTTTTATCTTAATCTTCAATTGGCAAATATAGATGCAGAGTATCAGCTGCTCTGTAACTCCTTCAAGTGGTAAGGTCTGATTCTGCCTGCCTAGCTGCTGCCTTATTGGCTTAAGTACAGGTCAGAAGAATTTTAATTTTTGAGATTGGCTCATCTGAAATGGAAATAAAGATGTGTTTATGAAATGCAGCTAAGTTTGGAAGTCCTGAGACATACAGTGTTGCCATAATTTACCAGAAAAGTATTTGTAAGGAAGAGGTGGTGTATAACTGTTCCAAATGAGGATAGGTACAGGTTGAAAACAAAAACCGTTGCACAATGATGCACTTTTCTAGCATCCCTGGCTAGGTCTCCCTTTTCCCTTTTCTGATGTGCCCAGTACTCTGTGGCAAACAAATCTCCCTTTTCCCTTTTCTGATGTGCCCAGTACTCTGTGGCAAACAAATCCTTGTTGAGTAACTTAACTGGCAGGTTGAGTTTGCTTTCTCTGCAGGTACCTCTTGATAATTGGACTTCTGACTCTGGTCTGTCTCTGAGGATTTGTGCTGTGTGAACACAATTAAATGAAAATGTTATTTTCTTTTCTGATAATCACTCTGCCACTGATTGGCATCCCTCTGCCAATTAAATACCCAGACTAATTGATACCTAATGTCTGTAGAGAAGTTGTGTGAAGCAAATAAGAAATCAGCTAATCAATCTAATCTGTGAATCAGATTTAGCCAAGATTAATGGGATGCAGATGGCTCTGTCTTCAGCAAAGCTGCCTCTAGATAAACATGGACCTGACCACTGTAGATGTGTCTTGCCAGTTTCAGAGGGGTGTCTTCATACTCTTTATGTGGTTTATTTACTAACTGGAGAGGAGAGAACAGATTGGCTCAACTTAGCTGGAGCTCAAACTACCATTCCTAAGTCTTGAGAAAAGAGCTTTACAGAATGACCTGCCAGACTAAGAATGATGTCCCATGTAGCTATGACAAGGAATGAGATTTAAACCTTCTGTATTTTAATTTACACATTGACATTTTTATATGCTGTAATGTGACCTTAGACCAGGTGGTCATTATAATTGTCCAAAGAGGGGTTTCTAATGCAGAAGTGAGTATACAATAAACTAGACTGTGCCCTTAGTTCCTCTAATTCACTTGGTGGGATAGAGTACACAATTGGTGTGCTCTGAAAGCACCTTTGTGCACCGTAGCCTTACTCTGCCCTGAAAGTGAATTAAGCTGCATCAGTCTTTGTCAAGTGTTCCTGTGTGACATGTGGCTGGGATGTGGCTGTTGTGCTACACATTCATGGAGCTTCTCATTGTGCACCCACTGCCCTGAGCAGGTAAGGCAGGAGTGCTTAAAACACCAACCTCCTGTGTGTTGCTGCTCAGTTTCTTACAAATGCAGGTTACTGAAATCATTAATGAAATCTTCAGTTCAGATGGAGTGTGTAACTCCTACACCAATGGAAGCATAAACCTGCCTGACAAATTGGAGGGGATGGGATGCACTTAAATTTAAAAATGGATGCTTATTTATTTTTTAACTTGTCAGTTACCCTGTCCCTGGAGTATAAGGCATTATTGTTCATCATCTTTTCCATTTCCAATAGTATTACTCATTCCTGTTATTAAACTTCTAGTATGCACCAAGGACTGAAAAGAGCTGTGTGAAGTCCTGTGTTTGTGTCCAACTTTCAGACCAGATCTGCTCAGCTTCCAAATAAAGATGCTTTTTATAACATCTTGTCCAGCAGACTCGCAGTAGGATGTCAGAACCAAGCTGCTTTCCTTTTGTGTTCACAGATTATTTCCCTGAGCTGACTAATCAGTATTAAATGTAAAGTATGCCTTATGACTGTTAGGGACTCAGGATTAACAGGGGTTGAGACAGTGAAGAGTGGGGTTTTTTGAGAACAGGACAGCCTTGCATGCTGGTTATCTTTTTTTCTTAAATACTTGGTGTGACATTTATATCTGAAAGGGTACTGCTAATTAAGTTTACACTTTACATATACAATATTGTACTTATTTGAAAGAGGAAGGCTTTATTTTTGTTCTGTCTGGTGAGTGATTAGTGTGTGTTTAGGTTTCTAGAAAAGGGAAGTTACTGTTCCCCATCTTCAAGTATTTCAACGATTGTCACACTGTCATCTTGATAGCTAGAGGGATTCAAGAGGCTCTAACTCTGCTCATCAACCTTGAAAGCAATCTCTGTCTTAGGGGGTTTTGTTTGTTTCCACAATTGAAATGAATACCCACTTCTGTTTGTTTGTCAACCACTTAATAATTGTGCCTCCATGATCTGAGCTGGTTATTTCCCAGTACTTTGGTAATTGGGCCAGTGCAGGATATATTTGGTATCAGGTGGAGGGATAAACTTAGTATCCCTTTGCACTTCATAGTTTGTCCTGAGCAAGTTGACTTCTTGTTACTGTTTCATTTCTGAGGTGCAGCAGGTGTTGCTCACGTTTTAGGGGTTTGATGTATGGAATGAGTCCAAGCTGGAATTGCAGCAGATTTTTTTTTTTATTACATAGCAATAGCCATATCCTGCCTTTAGCTCCTTGCACCCTGACAAAATAATCAAATAACACCAAGAACTGGCAGTGCAGCTTGGCAGAAACTGTTTGTATCCATAGAGGTCTTGTCTTTGGCTCATGAGGTGTTGAAACAAGCTGCCTTTTGCACTAATTATTCTCAGAGATAATGATGACATTTTCTGGCAGTTGGACTAAGAAAAATATTTGTGAGGCAAGGTCTGATCTGCCACATCTTATTTTGCTTTACTAAAATTTGATGTTACATGCGGAGAGAGACTTGAAGGTTTGAATGTAAATTTCTGTCCATTTGATGCTAATTATTGCACAGCTTCTTTGGCACTGCTAAGAGTGATGGCTGCTTCTTCCTTATCCCCCCTGCCTGAAATGGCATGATGTAGCAGAAGGCCTTCTGCTCTCATTTGCAGTGGAGGGAGATAGTCAGTGTTTCATGCAATATGATGTGAGGAAAGAAAAGCAAAGAACAGCAGAGCAAAAGAATGGATCATGTGGATGAGAAATCTGGGAGATGATCCTTCCAGCAGAGCATTTTCATGCCACTCATCAGCTTAGTGCTTGGGCTGCTCAGAGGCAGAATAACCTTTTGAAATGCCAGCTACTTAGATCAATTTTGTGTCAGAGAAAAATAAGTAACTGGGCTCTCTCTCTGTGGATTACTGTCTTTTTTGGTAATGAAAAATGCTCTGAGGAGCTGCTAGTAACAGCCTATTAGTTACAGCAAGAGCTCAATGCTGCAGGATTGCTTTGGCCACTTCAAAGAAGCAGATTCACTGGTGGGATGTTTATGAAAACAGATTGGGCCAGAACAGAACAAAAGGCTAAAAATACATCTCTTAGAATCCCAGAATCATTCTGGTTGAAAAAGACCTATAAGATCATAAAGTCAAGCCATTAACCCAGAGCTAAGCCATGTCCCTCAGCACCACATCTACAGGTCTTTTTACCACCTCCAGGAATGGTGATTCAACCACCTCCCTGGGTGGCCTATTCCAGTGTTTGATTCCTGTGTTTAATTCCAGTGTTTCAGAAAGGCATCTGTGTGCCTTCTGTGTCTTTTTGAACTTTTAATTTTTATATAAATTGTGTTTAATTTCTCTGCAATTGCCAGGTGATTATGGAATTGCATAAACAGAGGAAACTAAGCAACAAGGATATGTTATTCACCATTTATCAATACTTGAGAGGATTAAGCTGAATTGAGTTGTCTTTAAGTTGATCCATCAATCTTCCCTGGAGCTTTAAGAAAAATACTCAGTCTTGGAGGTGCTTGCTGATTAATTTTTTTTGTCAGTGAGATCAGGAAGGATATGTGGTAGTGCTGAGAAAAGAAAATGGGTAAATCTGCATTTATAGTAATGATATACTGAAATAAATGGACCTTGTTTGTACAGACCAATGTAGTAATATGCAACTAAACCCTTGTTTTAAATAGTTGTGTATCAAAATGATGTGTAGTTTGTGCAGCAGCAGAGTGAACTATCTTCTAGAACTCAAGTTTCTTCACCTCCCCTTTGTAAATAACTTTTTCAATAAGCCTGCAAATAAGAGACTTAAGCAAAAAATGAAATGGTAGAGAGACTAATAAAAAAAGTGTTGTCTTATTGGGTGATTTATCATTGTAGCAGTTGTGCAGACCATTGCAAAGGGGAGGAGGGAAAGCTCCACACACAACAGCAAAGCTGTTTTTATGGCATTGTGGTGGTTTACCTTGATGTGCTTTCATTTTAGAAAGGGGCAACAGAAAATGTGTTCTTGATTTTGTATTTCTGTGAGGGGGTTAGGTGACCTCTCTGTCTACATGCAGAGAAGAGCTTTGATTTGCTGTTCCACAGGAGGAAATCTTTAGGTAGGAAATGTTTGACTGGAGTTCATAGGATGGGGGAGGCCATGGTTACACGGCAGAGGAGTGTGTGTGGCTTTAGGGGGGATGGACATCCATAAGGCTTTGGCTGTGTTCAGGCAGGATTTGAGTGATTTATCATGAATGTTCAATTTCCTGATCCAAATTCCCACCAGTGTCATGTGCACAGCTCTGACTGGACACTTGTACCTGTGCTGAGTACAAAGGAAGGCTGTGGCTTGTGGCCTTGTGCATTTCCTGCTGGTTTGGACAGTAGGCATCCTTTCTGGTCACGTTTGTGTGCACTTTACAGGTCACACAGGTTCCGTCTTTCTTGCCAGCACAGTCTGGAGCAGCCCAGTGAGCACTGCAGGTGCAGGGCCCTGCCTGGAACCAGCAGGAAACAGGAATGCTGTAGACCAGATGGCTTAAGAAGTTTGAACTCATGTCAGTACCCCATTGCCAAAAATACAAATTCAGCCTGTCCTGTACCAACACCTCTGATTTATTCAGGCTTTACCTGATCAGTGCTGGAGTCCTAAATACCCAAAATAATTCCTGCTACATCTTATTTGAGCAGGTTTGACATAGTCTTAGCTATAGTGAAAAGGCTATTTACAGCTGTCGTATTTTCCCAGTTATTATTACAGAGATGTATGTTGAAATCATTTATGGATACTTGTCCGTATAAAGTGTGAGTCATTTATGTGCATTCCCTTACATTGTCCTACCAACCATTTTTTCACCTCTTTATGAAAACTTATATTAAAGCCACTCAGCTGCTGGCAGACAACAGTCTGTCAGTGCTTCCTACAGCATCTTACTCTCTTCAATTAATAAGGTTGCTCTTTCCAAAACATAGAGTTTCTACGTATTGGAAGATTAAGTTGAACTGCTACATCACTGCCCAGTGACTATCCAGCTCAACCACTCACCACACTGAATACAGTGAATATTCATATCTAGTAACATCTGATGGGTTTTCCATTTTTGGTTACATGGTTGAACGAATATTTGGTGAGGTTTGCAAATTCTTTTCCTCCTACAACAGAGTACAAGGTGTTGGAATGATTTGTGGTTTTCAATGTGAACTGAGTATTTGCTTTGTACTATTATTATTTGCCTACTAAGTATAAGGTTTTGTTTTGTTTCAGTTTTTCTTTTTTAAAGGTACATTTGACCACAATTTATACTAGACTGAAAGGAATTCATCTTGCCAAGGGCAGTTCAAGTACAGCTGTAGAAAGTGGGGCTTATAAGCATTTGAGTCTATTACAGAATATGCTCCTTTACAGGCTGCTTCTTGCTTTTAATTTACCCAGAAGACCTCTTTGGTGCAGTTTTACCCTCTTACAGATGTACTTTGATGAATTTCCCTAGGTTTGATGACTGCACATTGAACCTTTTGATTCATTCATACAGGATGTTCTTGTGCCTTGTATCCTTACATCTCTCTCACTAGCATTTTAGTCCAAGATTTTCCTGCATTGAAGCCCAAAGGAGCTAAATGAGGCCAAAAAGCTATAACTGTTCATCTGCTCTAGTGAATGTCAGTAAGGGCAGTTCATTTCAGCTTTTGTGCCTATTTTCCCCAAGTCTTAATGTTCAACTATTGATTCTGTATCGACATTCAGGAAATAAAAACATTTTTATCCTCTTAAAGAACATTTAAAACCTCTAAAGTGAATAACTGACAGAACAAATGAGAATTGTGTGAGTGACTGAGAGGCATATTTGCTTTAAATAAGTATGTAACAGGGCTCATAAAAATGGTTGGTTATTCACACATGATATGTTTGTATTCTAAGAATCAATAATCTTATTTCAAAAATATGGGGTTGAAATTAAGGTGAGCTGGAGGCCTCTCAAAAAAAATCTTTTATTAGATCAGTTTTGGTTGAAAATAATAAGTATGCATGAGTCTTCAAGAACTTTCTAAAGCTACAATTAAGTGTGTAGCAGATGGTCTCTGTTCAGGAGCAATTAAAACCAAATTTACTGACTCCTGAACTATGGATGATTGAACACGTGCTCTTTATTCAATACACACATCATGTACTTCAAGGGAAAGAAAGAAGTCCAGGTGAGAATTCAACAGTATTCTCCACAGCTGAGCCCTGACTAACAAATGAAACTCAGAATTTGTTGAGAAAAGTAAAATTTTACCCTGTGTGCACCTGTCCTTACTTACATCTTCTCTGATTTTTATCCATCTTACTTCTGCTTGAAGAGGGAAAACATGATTCCATAGGATTTGTTTTACAATTCTGCAGTGCCTGGAGGAAAACAGAATTCCTGTGGGAGGTTATGAAATGTGTATATAGTTATACATAGAGCTACATATGCATAGTTATATAAAACATTATTATTATTATTATTTAGAGGCTAGACATAATTTCTGAGAGTTTGTTATAAGAATCTAAGGTTTCTGGGGTTGGCAGTTGGTAGGATGTTCACTCTACTTATTTTTTATATAATGGGCTTTGAACCTCTGCATGACTGGAAAATCAAGTTGAAATTATCTTGTAAAATTGTCTTTCTTAGGTTGGAACAAGATATTAAAAAGTTAAAGGCTGACCTGCAAGCAAGCAGGCAGGTGGAGCAGGAGCTCCGGAGTCAGATCAGTTCTCTGACCAACACGGAGCGGGGAATTCGGTCAGAAATGGGACAGCTCCGGCAAGAGAATGAGCTGCTGCAGAACAAGTAGGTGTTTCTACACAGCTGTGTCAATCAGTTGCTAATTACTGTGCTCTGGTAAAGGGGAAAAACTATATTAAGACTAAAAAATTGGAGGCACTTGTCTGCAAAACCAGCAAGACTCATTTCTTGGGACCGTTGTCAGTGGTTTGGTTTTAGTAAGTGAAATCATTAAGTCCCATCCCTGTTACCTTCCAGGTTACACAATGCTGTACAAATGAAGCAAAAAGACAAACAAATGATCAGCCAGTTGGAGAAGAAACTAAAGGCAGAGCAGGAGGCACGAGCCTTTGTAGAAAAACAATTAATGGAAGAAAAGAAAAGAAAGAAGTTGGAAGAAGCAACTGCTGCACGTGCTGTTGCATTTGCTGCTGCTACAAGGTACTTTGTTCTACCTCAGAAGCAAGCTCAGGTTCAGAAAATTACTGAAGTGTAGCTTTTGCTTCTGAAATGTGTTTTGGGGGAGGTTTGGGGAGGTATTTTCCCCACTTCTGTAGATAAGGGAGTAGTCTGCCATTGATTTTTTCCTTTAAAAAGCTTTATGTTAAGAGGATTGTTGTGTTAAGGCAGTGGGAGGACTTTCTCATGAAGCTGAGTCTCAGTATTCAACATTTCATGTAGAGATGTAAAGGATGAATATGCTCTAAATTATCTGCTGTACCTCGAGTGTGTTATCAGAGGTGCTGTTCCCTGTGCAAGGCAGCCTGCTTCACAGAAAGGAACATCCCCTTTCATGTGGGGACTGTGAATCATTCATCAATGTTGGCTAAAATGCTGACTTGATCTCACATGCTGAATGTTTTCTGCTCCAGCCAGTGGCCGCCAGTGCTCAGCATAGTGAGTTTTTTCAAGATGAAAGCATGGCACCAGCATGGATGACTTGAATCTGCAGTGCTCCAAATGACTAAAAAAAATTACTTCTGCTTTTCTGTTCTATATATTTCATAATTCCTAATACCTTAATCATAACTTTTTGTGTTGTTGCCAGAAGGGAAATTCTCTTGGCAAAAGAACAGATTTCACTTCTTTTTATCCTTCAATATTTATATTAATTCTCACATTCTAAACAGTTCAGGATTTACAGACTCATTCTTTCTTCACCACCTTTTATTTTAATGTTTCTTCTGCAGAGGAGAATGTACTGAAACTTTACGAAATCGTATCAGAGAGCTGGAGACAGAGTGCAAGAAGCTGACAATTGACATCAAGCTGAAGGAAGATCAGATACGAGAACTAGAAATGAAAGTTCAGGTAATGGGAAAGCACCAGGGACTTAGATCAGCATCACAAGGAGTGCTCTCAGCACTCTGAAACTGGTGGAGCTACACAGGAGGCAACCAACACCTTCCAGAATCGTGCTGTTCGGATGACTGTCTTGAATGTCTTGCATCAGGCTTTGTAAAAGTATGGGTATGAGAGAGGTTAATAGTCTCAGCTCCTCACCATTCTATTTATCAAATTATTAATTTTTTTCCCTGAGCCAGGTTACACTGAGGATATAATCCCCTCAACATTTTTTTGTTCAGTGTGAGGTTGCCAGTCTGTATCATAAATGTGACTGCTAGCAAGTAAGACTGTTTATTCAGTGCAGTCTCAGTCACTGGCCAGGCTTTGTTTCATTTTGGTTGTTGTTGTTGGTTTTTTTTTGTGGAAGTGCTTGAATGTTGAAAGTACCTTGTGGTAGATGTGTAGCAGACACATTGTCTAGCATGTTAGAGTTGAAGAGCTCAAATGTGTGAGCTGAAGTTGACCTCACTCCTTTAAAATGTCTGTTCCTAAAAATGTCAACTGCCAATTTGCATAAATATGTATTCTAATGGCTTGTGGTTTTTTAGACACGTTTCAAAATGCACCTGGTGTTAGTATGAACTTGTTTCCAAATAACATATGCAGCCTTGGTGTTCTTGGGTTTACCCAGCCCTTGAACACAAGTGTGGTTTATCCATGGAGAATGAGCAAGGCTTTCAGATAATTGAAACCAGCTATAATCATGCTTTTTTACTACCACTCTTAAACTGTTAGAAAAGTTTTTCATTGTAGACATTACGATTTCCCTCGTATTATTTCTTCATTTAAAAGTAGAGAATATTTTTGTGCATAGTATTCATTTTTTTCTTGGTCAGTATTGCTGCCTGCTTCCCTGCTGCAAGGTGCCTGTCTCTTATGTGCAGAATACTTGCTCCCTCCTTCTCTTTTTTCTATATTTCTGAGTTTGCAGCTCAGTGAGATTCAATGTGGGAAGAAATCCCTCTCCCCAGCCCATTTAATTTTATTATTTAATTTGATCATCATAGATTAAATAATCATCATAGATCCTAGAATCAAGGAATGGTTTGGGTTGGAAGGGAGCTTCAAGATCATCCAGTCCCAACCCCCTGCATGGGCAGGGACACCTCCCACCAGCCCAGGCTGCTCCAAGCCCCATCCAACCTGCCCTTCAACACTGCCAGGGATGGGGCAGCCACAGCTTCCCTGGGCAACCTGGGCCAGGCTCTCACCACCCTCACACCCAAGAATTTCCTCCTCATGTCCAACCTCAATCTCCCTCTTCCAGTTTTAATCTATCTCCCCTTGTCCTCTCACCCTTTGCCCTTGTCCCGAGTCCCTCCCCAGCTTTTCTGGATCCCCTTCAGGCACTCAAAGGTGCTCCAAGGTCTCCCTAGAGATTTAGGATCCCTTTAAACTGTCTATCAAGAGATCAGTCCCCATTCTAGCTGTGCTGCTTGTGGGAAGTGTTTTCATGATCCACAGCTTGGCTGAGAGCACTGGATGGCTGCTTAGCTGGCACTTGGAAGTGCTGAGGAGGATTTTGGGGTGGAGGGGCTCAATGTGAATGATGGAGGGCTGGAAATAGAGTAAATGGGACTTGCTCACCACCCTGTAATTAAGCATTGTACAATATGGCTTTAATCACTTGTATGGCGGTCATGTATAATTACTGGAGGTAATATTACAGTGTCCTTAATTAACCATCATTTTAATTTTACAGTATTAATACCAGGCCCAGTGGTGTGCTGTGGGGAAGAGAAAAGATTTCTCAGTGTATCTCATGTGTGAAGTCGATGAGAATAACATTTGTGCTAATTACTCCTACAGGAGCTGCGGAAGTACAAGGAAAATGAGAAGGATACGGAGGTGTTAATGTCAGCACTTTCAGCCATGCAGGATAAAACACAGCACTTAGAGAACAGCCTGAGTGCAGAGACAAGAATCAAGCTGGATCTGTTCTCTGCGTTAGGAGATGCAAAACGGCAGCTGGAGATTGCCCAAGGTAAAAAAGGGGTGGTTGAATCCGGTGTGTGGTGCTGAAAGAGTGAAAATGTGACAGGAGGAGCATCCATCCTGCCCCTTTATCCAGGGGTGGGCTGTTCCCACCCAGCATTTCAGCTTTCAGTGAGGTTTTGTCTTTTACAGCTTGGTGAACATGATGAGCTTAAGCAATTCAGGTGACCTAATTTCCCCAAGCTAAACTGAAGACAATCAATGTCAAGATGGGCATTTATGTAAATTAATTTATGCTGTTTTTCTATTTTTTTAATAAACTGTTACCTTAAAGCTGAAGAACTTCTGAAGAGCCAGAAGATTAAATAATAGTTGCCATCTACTAAGCCCCTGTCCTTGAATCCTAATAATGTAAATATAGTGAAGTGTATTTACAGGATATATATTACATTACAGGATATATATTATATATTTACAAGATACTGAAGTAAATACAATCTAAATGTAGGGAGGGGCTGAAAAACCAACCTGTTCAAAACGTGACACTGGTGAGGACCTTGGTGTCCTTGTCGGGCTGGTATTGCCACCAGAGGGAGCCTGAAGCCAGTATAAAACCCTGCCCAGACTGTCCTTTGTTCAGCTTGCAAACCGTGGAGCAAACCTTTTGATGTCGTAGTTGTTAAATTTCCTTGAAGAAATTTGCTTGGTTGCAGGAAAATTTAATTAGAGTGAGTTTTTTTTTTGTTTCATTTCATTGGTGTTTCCTTTCAGGGGGTTGTAATGATGTTGTGAGTGTGCACAAAGGGGGTGTAGAAAAATAGGAAGAGTAGGGCAGGTTTGAAACTAAATAACATAATGAGCAAACACTTGTGCTCCTGTAAGGTGCTCATAAAAAGGGAGCAAAAAAGTGCAGAAAAAAGTTGAGCCATAGAAGTAACTTTCTGGTCTGGTGCAGCTGTGAACCCAAACAGCACAAACCTACTGGCAATGCAATGCCTAGTTGTGTTCCCTGGTAACTAGAGGTAATTAAACTCCCTCAACACAATCCAGGAGTTCCACGAGTTGTGCTTTTGCTGAGGTGGTGTCAGAGCTCTGACTGTCTGCTGGGTGTTCTGCTTCAACAGCTCCTTTTGCACAGCTGCTGGAGGGGGAGAACATGCTGCTGGTTCTAAGTGATTTTATTTGCTGTTTGCAGGGCAAATCATTCAAAAAGATCAGGAAATCAAGGACCTAAAACAGAAGATTGCAGAAGTTATGGCAGTCATGCCCAGCATAACATACACTGCAGCCACCAGCACTCTGAGTCCAGTTTCCCCCCATTACTCTTCCAAATTTGTGGAGACCAGCCCTTCTGGACTTGATCCCAATGCCTCTGTTTATCAGCCCTTGAAGAAATGAATGCCAATTTTCTTTTTGCCCAGTAATTTTGTCATGCTGAAGGCATCACACAGGAGTGTCTCTTGCAGTCAAGATGAAATTGTATTGTGTGAGACTGTATTTGTTGTCATTTAAAACAGGATTAAAAGAACATCTGGATTGACTAGAACTGCCCATCAGTTTTTCTTGTAAATTTTTAGAAAACCTCACAGAACTTTGCAATTTATTTTCCTTGGCCAATGCATTAAAAACAATTCTTGGTTTTCAAGTAGCCAATTTTGCCTTTTTATGTACTCTTGCATGGTTTCCTCTTGAAAAATACAGGGCTTTGCTTGATTTTGAACCCTTTCTTCTTTTTTTTTAATAATCAAGTTGAATTTGCAGATTAATTCAGTAATAGTGAGGGAAAAACCAAAACACTTTAGTTTTTACAGTGAAAGGGTTAAATAATCTAACAAAGCTTTGGTTTCTAGATGTATTAAATACAAATATGTGATGTTGCAGAAGATAATTTGATTTACCCCTCAAAGGACCAAACAAATTTCAGGGGCTTTGTTTAAGGAGAAGAGTAAGAGAATAGATGATGATGTGACATGGTGGTTGTTGTGTGAAATATTTATAATCCCATTGGTGTTTTTAGTCATTGAGAATTGCTAACAGTCTTGTTCACAGTGCCTTGGGAAAAGACATTTCAAGAGGAAACTTGATAGTTTAAACTATTTTTTCCCCCTTCACTGTCATCTAGCTTATATATCAAGCTCATTACAGAGTCTACTGCAAATTGTACATGGTAATTTGGATGTTCATTATAAACCAAGGTTACATCTTCTGTTTATTTTGATATAAACTCAGCAGTGTTCTGTAACTTGCCTTGATTATACTGCATTGTGGAAGGCACAATATTACTACAGGAAAAGTTATTGTGAAGGCAGAACTGTGCAATGTACTGTATACAAGAGACTGTAAAGCTGGCTAATAAAAGCTGCAGTTCTGGGTTTTTTTTTTTTATTTTCTTCAACTGTGATTTACACTTGATACCACCTTGTGTTTGACAGTTTAAATGGAGCTGAAGAGTTTCTCAGCCCTTGGTGCCATGGAGTTTTTAAGGAGTTTTAAAGGAAACTCATAAATTGCACAAAGGTTTAAGTTAAAATGTATATTATACATTGAGAGAAAGTGTTTGCACTGGCAACTTCTGATGTGTTTCAGATTGGGGGTTGGAGGGGTGGGAAGGAAAATTGTATTTGGGACTAGTAGAATTACAAACCCAGCATTATTTTGCAAACATGCAGTGGACTCTGGAAGGACAAAGTTCTTCTGAAGAGAAGTTTGTTTTAAAGCTTCATGGTAATAGGCATGTATGCCTCATTAAAGAAAATTAACTAGGACACATAAGTCAATAGAAGTATAAAGTCATCATTTTAATCACAGGTATTCTTTTGGGATAAAACTTCTAGCTTTAGCCAGGTTTGCATGTTGCTGTCATTTGCATTTTTGAATCATCTTATGTAACTGTCACCATAAAAGTATTACTCAGAAATGTCACAGGTTTTTTCATCTTTGTGCAAAACATGAAATATTGTCACTGACTTTGAGGTCCCCCCATTTTGCTGCCTATTTGGGCACAATTTTTGTTCAATACTTGGTCTTGGCTGCATTTTTTTTTCCTGTGGGGTTTACAAAGAATAAACATTTTCTTGCAGATAATTTTTTTTTTTTTTTGGCCTTCTTAAGTGACCTGATTTAAAGAACCTATCAAAGAATATACTGACCTGATTTAAGGAATGTAACAAGGAGTATAGTGACCTGATATAAAGAATATATTTTGTTTCAAGAGTACTCTGATATTGCAGGTAAGTCTCTTGGCAACTGGGATTCACTGCTTTGGCTACTGCTGTGGCTGGTCCTGACATGGGGGTTTTCTCCTTTTTAAAGAACCTATCAAAGAATATACTGACCTGATTTAAGGAATGTAACAAGGAGTATAGTGACCTGATATAAAGAATATATTTTGTTTCAAGAGTACTCTGATATTGCAGGTAAGTCTCTTGGCAACTGGGATTCACTGCTTTGGCTACTGCTGTGGCTGGTCCTGACATGGGGGTTTTCTCCTTTAGGCCCCCAGGTAAATTTTCTTTCAGGTACTAAGAAATTCCAACCTCAACTCTTCTTTGATTCTGCTACAAGAGCTGGCAGAACCTCCCAGTTCCTTGAGGATACAGTCATTGCTGGTTTTTTTCTTTTCAAACCATCACCAGTTTGACAGACTTATAGGTAATTTCCTAATTAAAAGACATTCTAGATAAGTTTTCAGTTTCAACAGCCCCTGTTGCAGTGCAGCAGAAGTTGTTCTCTAGTACCCTCCTCAGTTCAAAGGGAAGTGTGAAAGTATTTGCAGGCACCAGCCTGCTGTGCAGGGCAAGGGGAGGGACAAGAAGGGGAGATAGTGTAAGAGTTGAGTGCTTGAATTAACCATCCTTTAGGTCTTTAAATATTTAAATGTCTGAAATGGAAAAATATTGTAATGACTCATCACAAACTGGACTTGCAAGATTAAAATATGGGGAATTAAAGAATGTAAGACTGCAGAAGTGTCACGTAGGATATTTTGGTTTTGTCCTACAGTCACTTATGAAATATTACTGTGGAATAAATGCTCTAGAGAGATCTGCCAAAGGAAAACTGAAGTACCCAGAACTTGCAGCCAGCATAAATCTAGGTAGAAATGGTAAAAGACAGGGCTTCTGTGTTGTGGTTTTGAGCACCTCCAGGTTTATCTTCAGTGAACTTTTAAGTAGAGCAGAAAGCAGTTGGTAATTTTATGTTTAATATTAAATGAAAAGCTCATTTATTCATGGACTATTCTCTTAAGTGTGCTAAGATAAACCAGCTCCTATGTCTGAGCATAGTTCATGGTGATGAGAAAGGGAGGGCTTAAATCCATGTCTTGAATTCAGTCTTGCTTCATCAGATAACTTCCAGAAAGGAAAAAACCTGCTGCTTTGCCTGAAATGTCCTCTGTGGCACCTGGAAATGAAGCTGGAGGTAGCAACCTCAGTGCAGCAGAGCAGGTGAACTTCCATCTACCTTGAAGTAGCTATTGCCTCTGAAGTGTTTAAGCAGAACAAACTTGGGGTTTGTTTTTCCTTTTTCTTTCTTAATAGTTCATTGACATCTGGAAGTTGGTTGCTTATCCCATTGTTGCCTGAAGCCCCCTGGGATGTCACATGCAAGGAACTGGCTACAAGACAGTTCCTTAGCCCAAAAGAAATGTGCCTTTTGACATTTCCTGATCCTCCATTAGTGTGTCCAGGAACTAGCTTCTCCCAACATGCTGTTACTGATGACATTTGTATGCAACAGATGCATTGATTTTTTGACACTTCAGGTTAAAAACCAGGATCTTTCCATAGCATTTGATAGAAAACCCTGTTAAGAAGTTTAACCTGTTTCCTTTACCACTAGTGCCTGCTGGGGAGAATAAGGCTGTTCCCAAGATTAGCATCTGAGAGTGGCAAGAGAGCCTAAGCCTAAAGAGGTGACCTCCTCCAAGCAGGTTTCTGTACCATTGGCACAGCACCACTAGTGCAGCAGCTTCATCACCTGCAGCAGTAAGTTGCTGGGGAGTATTGTTGGGTTTTTTTAAAACTTAACAGTTCTGGTCAGAAGCTCAATGATTATTACTCCCATCGGAGTTAGTGTGCAGTGGGGGAGCTGTTTCTTTACCACTGGACACTTTCATGTGTTGCAAGACCTCACCTGGAGAACTGGGTCCAGTTCTGGAGCCTCCAGCACAAGGACATGGAGCTCCTGGAGAGAGTCCAGGGGAGGCCATGGAGATGATCCAAGGGCTGGAGCAGCTCTGCTCTGGAGACAGGATGGGAGAGTTGGGGTGTTCAGCCTGGAGAAGAGAAGGCTCCAGGGAGACCTTAGAGCACCTTCCAGTGCCTGAAGGGGCTCCAGGAAAGCTGGGGAGGGACTTGGGACAAGGGCAGGGAGGGAGAGGACAAGGGGGGATGGATTAAAACTGGAAGAGGGAGATTGAGGTTGGACATGAGGAGGAAATTGTTGGGTGTGAGGGTGGTGAGAGCCTGGCCCAGGTTGCCCAGGGAAGCTGTGGCTGCCCCATCCCTGGCAGTGTTGAAGGGCAGGTTGGATGGGGCTTGGAGCAACCTGGGCTGGTGGGAGGTGTCCCTGCCCATGCAGGGGGTTGGATCTAGATGATCTTTAAGGTCCTTCCAACCCAAACCATTCTATGATTCTGTGATGATGATTCTAAAGTCAAGGTCAGGAACAGACCTGCAGCAAGTTCATACCTAGTAGGTTAAAAAAATGAAGTCTGAGATGCCACAGTATCTTAATTGAATCAGCTTCCATGATGCACTAAAATAATATACAACCATTTGACTAAAGCATCTCTTAAGAAAGGAGAACAGGCAGGGAAAAGGGCAAGAATCAGTTTCAGTCAAGTTCAAATGTAAGTGGCTCGTTTACTTATAATGTCCCTGAGTGGTAATTATGCTGTTTTAGAGCACGTTGGCACATTCAGAAAATACTGGGTTTTACTGCTTACCGTGAAAATCTTTAAACTATATGTCTTACATAATTAACAAGAAATTATTTCCCATCAAGGTTTAGCTGGTCTGAACAATAATGGTTTGATTCTAATAAAATAATAGTGGCAGTTAGTGAAGTGCAGGCTGTGCTCTCTGTGTTTCTGGAAATGCTCCAGGAGCAGTATATTTTTTTGTGGGAAAATGCAGCTTTTTCTTGCTTTACCCCAAAGCCTTAACTTAACAATTTCCTTTTCCTAACAAACAGCTGTGGTGCAGAACCCTGATCATAAACCAAGTGGCACCTTCAGGTGAATTTTCTTACCCTTTCCTTTCAAGTCTGACAGAAACATTCTTTATGCAAAATGCATGACAAGCATTTTAGAGACAATTGAAGATGGTGCTAAAACCCAAGGGATTCTTCCCAAGATTGAAATAACCAGCATTTTACAACCTTTCTCTCTGCAATTGCTCACTTAATCTGATCTGTTTCTTTACATATTTGCCACTCTGTCCTAACTTCCATTAACCTCAACTGAACAATTTATCTTTTGATGATCTTTTTAGGCAGTCTCTCCATTTTTTGTAGCCTCTTCAGATGCCTTGTCACTTAGAACCATCTGTTTATCTGTTGGGTTTTTTTAAATAGGCTTAGGTGTTTTGTTTTTCTTAGACCTTTCTATGAATTCACTGCCATATAGAATAATTGCAAACAGTTTTTATGGGAAGAGTTTGTCTTCATCTGCTTTTAGTCCCATGTATCAAAAAGCAAACTGAAGTGATTGTCTAGGGTGCATCCATTACCCATGGGAAAGTATTTCTGCCTGGAAAGCCCTTGGGGCTCTTTGGAGGGCAGAAGGACCCCACATTTCTGAAGAAACTGAATGTTATGCCATCCTTAGAGACTTGTAAATATTTAAACTGTTTTGGTTTGGGAAAAAAAGATGAGAAGTGAAGTTGTTGTTCATTGGTGACTAGCTTGAAGAAGAAAAAAACCCCAAATACCCCAAAATCCCATGTGAATTTTGATCTGAGACTAAATGGTGTGTGCTTCATAGCAGATTTTAGTGAAAATATTTAAGATCTGAATTGGAGTTTTCTGCAAGTGAGAACTTAGGAAAGTACTTTGTGTCCTCTCCACAACAGCCACCAGAGGGCCCAGGCTGCCCTGCTTGGAGAGCAAATCGTGAACATTGCTCAGTCACCGACACACTGGAAAAAATGCCATTTCTTTTTAACCAGATAACTGAATGATATCTCATAGTCTTCCATGAAAATTCATTCCATAGAAAATCCGCCTTGGGAACGCTCAAATACACGGATCTATGTGATAATAGAAGTAGGATCAATACACAAACATTCTCTCTTGAGAGACCAGGTTCAAAGGGAAGGAAGGTTTTGCTTTATTCTTTGTATCCAGGGGAGTTTCTGTTGCAGAAAGTGAAGTACTATAGA